TAGTTCAGTTCTATAGTTCAGTTCTATAGTTCAGTTCTATAGTTCAGTTCTATAGTTCAGTTCTTTAGTTCATTTCTATAGTTCAGTTCTTTAGTTCAGTTCTTTAGTTCAGTTCTTTAGTTTAGTTCTTTAGTTCATTTCTATAGTTCAGTTCTTTAGTTCATTTCTATAGTTCAGTTCTTTAGTTCATTTCTATAGTTCAGTTCTTTAGTTCATTTCTATAGTTCAGTTCTTTAGTTCATTTCTATAGTTCAGTTCTTTAGTTCATTTCTATAGTTCAGTTCTTTAGTTCATTTCTATAGTTCAGTTCTTTAGTTCATTTCTATAGATCAGTTCTTTAGTTCATTTCTATAGTTCAGTTCTTTAGTTCAGTTCTTTAGTTCATTTCTATAGATCAGTTCTTTAGTTCATTTCTATAGTTCAGTTCTATAGTTCAGTTCTACAGTTCAGTTCTTCTGGGACATTTTCTCCGTTTGTTTTGTCAACTTTCCTCTGTGTGAAGTTGAATTATTTTTCCTCCGTACTTTTGTTTTTCTCCCGACAAACATCAGGTCTCACGTTGACTTCAAGGCTCAGAGAGTCACTCGGTTGTTTATCTGCGCCAAGTGTGTGGCGATGAACACGTGAGCAGGTCACAGAGCTGGCAGACACCTGAATTAAAGGTTGGAGGGAGGGGGAGGAGGATGGAGAGGATAAGGAGGAGGAGGATGAGGAGGGAGCAGACAGTCAGTGGAGGAGCACAGACTGAACAGACGGACCATTCTAACAGGCCGACGTAAAAAAAAAAAAATCATCATGCCGAGGAATAGTGATGTGGCTAAAACGGAAGAAGGTGAGAAGAGGATGAAGAGTATTTTTTTAAGAGAGAGAAAAAACTGCACAGAATTATAATCAATTAATCCTGGAAAATGGAGTAAAAAAAATAACCAGGTGTTTGTCGTTTGCAGTTGGGATAGAAGTAGACGCAGAAGACAGCGACGGTGAGTAGGTTTCATTTACCTCAGATGAAATATTCTTAGTCAAGAATTGATAGTCAAAGAATAACTAAAGAATAGCTGATAATTAGCCCAGGTATAACAAAAACCCAATTTTGCTTAAAGTGCCTGAAAATTAGACAATATCTTAGCTAAGTAATTATCCAAAAGGTGTCGCTGTTTCGTCCTTCGTTAACGTAGAATCTGATCCAAACGTCTGAAAATACAGCAGGTGACACCATGTACGTTTCACTGTGTGTGAGTGTAGACAGCGCCAGCCACAGGCGAAACAACAGAAGACAGGGCGCAGGACGAGGAGGAGCTAAGAGCAGAGGGCGGGGCAAAAAGCCGGCCAGTGACGAAGAGGAGGATGAAGAAGAAGAAGAAGATGACGGTCCACGAGGTCGACGCAGCAGAGGAGCAAACAAGAAGAAACCCGCGAAGAAACGTGGAGATGACGACGAGGAGGAGGGAGACGAGAGTGAGGATGAAGGCCCCAAGAGGAGAAGAGGAGGAGCGGGGGGGAAAGGAGGAGTTAAAGGAAAGAAAGGAGGCAAAGCGCAACAGGACAGTGATGGTGAGGAGGAGAGTGATGACGGGAAAGGGAAGAAGGGAAAGAAGGGAGGAGCAAAGAAAGGAGGGAAGAAGGAGGTGAATGACGGTAAAGGTAAAAAAGGTGACGACAAGGGAAAAGAAAAGAAAGAAGACAAGGACAAGAAGAAAAAGAAGAAAGGAGACAGGTAGGAAACAGGATGTGATGTCATCCCAGTGAATTTTTTCCCCCAGTAGATTTTAATGTTGACATTTATGCTAACTGAACAGTTCGTTCAAGTTTACACGTGTATTAGCGTTGAGTGAGCACAGACTGTGCTGTTAGCACCCCCCAGTGTTGAGAAAAAGCTCCATGTCAGGGTTTTAGCCCAAATATGTGAATACAGAGATATGTTCAACAGTTTTGAGATGTTTAAAAAAATGTAGCTCAAAATTGAGCCTGCTCGTAAGCTAAAGCTGTTAGCTGGAAGTTAAAATAAACTGAATTACAGAAGCGGCTTCAAATGTTTTCAAACTAGTTTTTACATATTCATTTTTTTTTACAAGTTATGTCAAACTAGGGAGAAATTAGCAATTAGTTATGTCAAACTAGGGAGAAATTAGCCTAAACTTTAATGTAAGTTTAGCAAATCAAGCAATCTACAGTATGCAAAGATATAGCAAGATGTTAGCAGGAAACAGCTACGATTTCAGTTGGACAATAAAACTTCAGAAGAACTCAAGGTCAAGATCAATCCTAAACCCTAATCCTGACTTTAATTTAAACATTCTCGTCTGTTCCCAGTTCTTCCGACTCCAGTGACTCTGATGGTGAGGAGGAGGAGTCAATGTCAGAGGGAGAGATGGCCAAGCTGATGGAGGAGGTGGAGGAGAAAAAGAAACTGATCGGGATCATCAGAAACAAACCCTGGAGGATGAAGAAGAGACTGACAGAGTTCAAGTGGGTTTTCTTTAACCTCACAAAGATTATTAATTTGGTATTTCTTAAATTTGACAAAGGTCATAAATCTGGGTTTTCTTAAATCTGACAATGATTATTCATCTGGGGTTTTTTTAAACCTGAAAAGATCATTCATTTGGGTTTTCCTAAACCTGACAAAGATTATTAATTTTTTCTTAAAGGTTAAACCTCACAAAGACAGAGACATTGCCTCTGGGCCAAAGTGCCACTATTATTATTATTATTATTATTATTATTATTATAGTCTTTATTGTCATTGTAACACGGGGATACAACGAAATTGAGCCTCTGCTTTTGCAGCTGGTGGATTCGAACCTGAAGGTTATTTTAAAAGCCTTAAATTAAAAGCCCTCTAATCTGATCAAACTGAATATCTGTGTCTCCTGTTGTCATCTGTTTCCTCACAGAGAAGCTCAGCAGTTTGTGGATAAGTTTGAAGGAGCTCTGGGTAAGGGTAAAGGCAGGAAATGGTACGCTTACAAGGTCATGATGACAAAGGTGACTCTCTGACTCTCTCTGACGCTTGTTTTCCTTCTTTGGTTAAGAATAACTTATAAAGGCAGCCTCCTCCCTAAACTCCACACCCTGCCTCTACCCGAATCTGTGAATATTTTGTTTTTGACAGAAATGGATCAAGTTTCAGCGGGACTTTGAGAACTTCAGAACTGCCTGTATTCCCTGGGAGAGGAAGATCAAAGAAGTGGAGAGTAAGTTTTAAGTAAGCAAACTGCGGCTCCCCGTGTACACATGTGAAACTTATATAAAACGTCATTCTTTTCCTCAGGTCACTTTGGCTCCTCCGTGGCTTCTTACTTCATCTTCCTGCGCTGGATGTACGGCATGAACCTGGTTTTGTTCGGCTTCACGTTTGGTCTAGTGGTCATTCCCGAGGTCACGTGATTACTTGCTGTTTTCTGCGCTTCAAGCGGGTTGGCGCAAAAATTAGACGTAATGTTAATTTGCAACAGCGGTAGTTTGTTTTAACGACTAAAAAGGGCTGCATACGACGCCCCTGTTGGTAAAAAGCATTGCAAAAATCACTTTGCATTGCATTAATATTAACTATTAAACATCACAAAATTCTTCAAAACGTTTTTTTTTTTTTTTTAAGTGAACTCCTTATCATTGTGACATTGTGACACACACACCTTATTTTATCTTATCTATTTACTACAACATGAAGACTCTTAGTTTGGTTAGTCAATAAAGTTTAGTATTTGAATTTAAAATTATTTTTTTTATTAATTTGTTTTTATTCATTTTTTATAAACTATAAAGATTTTGTTTTCCTTAGGTTCTGATGGGCCTGCCTTATGGTTCCATTCCCAGGAAAACAGTTCCCAGAGCAGATCAGGACACGGCTCAGGATTATTCTGTTCTCATGGACGTTAATGTAAGTCTAAGATGATGATGAGCGATGATGAAGATGATGATGATGACAAGGAGCACAAAGCTGCACAAAATTAAACTCTAAATGTAAATCTTTTTTTTTGTCCCTTCAGGGCTACTGCAAGTACTCTGTATTGTTTTATGGTTACTACAACAGTCAGAGGACAATTGGTCTCCTGAAGTTCAGACTGCCCCTATCCTACTTCATGGTTGGGATTGGAACCTTTGGCTACAGTCTGATGGTCGTCATCCGCACGTGAGCTGCACTGTACACTTTTCTTTTACCTTTTGTAAATTCACTGCTGTCTCCATCAGACAGACCTTACCAGCAGACCACCAGTAGACCAGCAGTAGACTAGCAGTAGACTAGCAGTAGTCCAGCGGTAGTCCAGCGGTGGACTAGCAGTAGACCAGCAGTAGCCTTGCAGTAGTCCAGCAGTAGACTAGCAGTAGTCCAGCATTAGACTAGCAGTAGTCCAGCGGTAGTCCAGCGGTGGACTAGCAGTAGACCAGCAGTAGACTAGCAGTAGACTAGCAGTAGACTAGCAATAGACAAGCAGTTGACTAGCAGTAGACTTGGAGTAGTCCAGCATTAGACTAGCACTAGACTAGCAGTA